GCAAGAGTTCCTCAAGAGGCAGTAGAACGTCCTCGACATATAGAGATAGAGATAAAGATAAAGATAAAGATAAAGATAAAGATAAAGATAAAGATAAAGATATAGATAAAGATATATATATATATGTCGAAATACAAAAGATTCGTTCAGTGGTACCTGCTTTTATCTATCCGTTGCACCTGCCCTACCTTTAGGTTTTTCACACCTTCACCTAATATTTTTTGGTCCCTTTTGATTTTTCTAAGAATACCAGGGAACGTAAATTTCGAGATAAGCTGACTATCAAAGCTGACAATCGAGATAAGCTGGGGTCGTATAACGAACAAACCGCAATTTACTTTCAACATTATTTTATTATTTATTATTTATATATGTACGTACATACATACATACATACATACATAGATACATATGTATATACATGCACATAAATAAAATTATTAGTCTCGAGTACACAGAGAGATACGATATGATATTCGTTCGGTCTCGTTCTTTCACGATGATCAAATATTTTTTTCTTTTTACTTTGTCTGCTTTTTCTTTTCTTTTTTTTTCTCTCTCTTTTTTCTTTTTCTTTTTTTTTTTCTTTTTCTTTTTTTTTGACTTCTGTGATGGTTTTCTCTAATATATGTTGCACAAAAAAAAAAAAAAGGGGAAAAAAAATAGAAAAAAAGAACGAACGTCTAAGAGAGAAGAGAAAGAATAGATAATGATGAAGGAAGGAAAAAATGATTGTATATATTGGATAATCGAATGTTCAATGTCCATTTGAAAATTGTACTTTTTTTAACTTTTTTCTTTCCCCCTTTTCTTTCTTTTTCCCAAAAAAAAAAAAAAAAAAAAAAAAAAAAAAAAAAAAAAAAAAAAAAAAAAAAAAAAAAAAAGTTATACTGCACGATGTTACAGTCCATTTCATGTATTCCAAAATTGTATGGTCCATTTCTTTTTTCCCATATTTTTCTTCTCTCTCTCTCTCTCTCTCTCTCTCCGTCCATCCTTCCTTTTTTTCTTTTTGAAAAATAAATTACACCTATACTTGCATGCAGTCCGAATAATTGGTATTTCAAAATTGGTATGGCCCATTTTCTTTTTTCTTTTCCGTTCTTCTTTTTTTTCTTTTCTTTTTTTTTTTTTTTTTTTTTTTTATTTTCTTTTTTCTTTTTTTGAACTCTCTCGAATACATAATACCTTTGATTGGAGATTCGCCATGATCGGTACGATCGGCATTTTCCATTCGTCTTCTTTCCCTCGTGGCCACCTTCGATGTCCTTTTCTTGAAGGTGTATAACTACTCTGCGTGTGCTCCTGCACGGAGAATGAGAGAGACAGAGAAAGAATATATATATATATATATACATAGAGAGAGAGAGAGAGAGAGAGAGAGAGAGAGAGAGATAGTGAATGTCGGCAAGTTGCCATGTATGGTGGAAAGTGGTCGGTGTTGTAGTTTTGAATTCGTCCGAGATTCGTTTGGTTCGTATCAAGGTCTTGGACCGGCTTCGCCACTGGCATCGACGATGTTACATGGGAGAGTTCCCACGTGCCTTTTGCACAACCTCTCCTCCTCTTTCTTCTCCTTCTCCTTCTCCTCCAATTTCTCCTTCTCCTTCTCAATCACCTCTTCAACCTCCTCCTCCTCCTCCTTCTTCTTCTTCTTCTTCTTCTTCTTCTTCTTCTCCTTCAATTCCTTCTTCTTCTTCTTCTTCTTCTTCTTCTTCTTCTTCTTCTTCTTCTTCGTCGCCATACTTCCTAAAGGGTACGAAGGGTGCAACTTTATTTTTTTTTAATTTTTATTTTCATCTCCCTTTCTTCATTTCTTTTTTCTCTTCACTTTTTCTTTCTTTTCTTCGTTCTTTCTTTCTTTCTTTTCTTCTTTCTTTCCTTTCTTTCCTTTCTTCTCTTCTCCCCCTTTTTTCTTTTTTTGACCACCATCGATGTTAAGCAACGTTCGAACTTACTCTTGCGTGTCTCAAATTTGACGAAGAATTTGAAAATGAAAATTTAAAGAGAATCGACAAGAGAAAGAAAAAGAGAGTACGTTTGTCTGTATGTATGAGAGTGAGAGAGAGAGAGAGAGAGAGAGAGAGAGAGAGAGAGAGAGAGAAAATATTGTCCAAAAATTTATCCAAAAAAATATATGTATATATATATTTTTTTTTTCTATTCTATATTTCATATATATATTTGTACAATACTATAATACACTATATATACAATAGCATTGTATTTGAAATATTTTAATTGTTTTGATTAATATTAATAATTAAACTATTTACTTAAATATTTCGAATAAGAATAATACTGATTGCACGATCGGTTTATTTACATATGAAATATTAAAAATCGTAATATTATTACGATATAAATATTTATTTGGTAAACTTAAAATATTTCATATATATATATATATATATATATATATATATATATAAATTGAAGTGAATTGTGAAATAGGTATTGTAAAGTTGCATAACGATCAGATAATCTTGAAGAAAAGATA